TATCTCGATGAACGCACAGCTGACGTATTAACCAACTGTTTTATAACATTTTTAACCTGATGGTTTAAATGTTTTAAAAGGGTTAATATTCCCTCTGCTACGCTTCAGCGCATTGATAATTTTGTTTCAGGAGAACATTTCGCTACGCTGTACACGATCTTGTGTTAGATTGGTCAAAAAACTGACAGGTAAATTCATGCGTACGCGTGTAAATGAGCTTTATTTTCTGATTGAATACAAAATTCTCTAATCCAAAAGAAAAACAAAGATGCTGTTTCATTGGCTAATTTACAACTGGCCATATCCTAGCTTCGTGTGACGGAAAGTTCGACTCACAAACAAATCTAGGAAGGCATCGCCAAGGTTCCTAAACATTTTCGACAGCAAATAATATTTCAAACATACTTTTATGGTATTAATATTTGGAAACAGTAAAAAATAGCGGAGAAAATTTTTTTCTCGAGGGATTTGTTTCCTGACGTCATGAGCGTGCACAATAGGAATATGAAGCGCGTTCACGCAATTGAATTTGATTAGACAGATTTACTCGCCATTTTATAATATAACGTGGGGACGTTTTCGCTGAAACAAAAAGATAATGCAATGTTTCTTTTGGAAGTATTATTCCATGTGGCTTTGAACGTTTTTTAGATTCAAAATAACTGCATTTTGTGAATATTTAAAGATCGGAAGCAAAATTGACCTCTGGTCGTTTGCATTTGAAAACTTTGAGTAAAACAAATTTAATGAGCTCAGAAAGCAATATCGAGAAGTGGAGAATTTAATGAAATTGTTGGCTTCAATTAAAACACTTTAGGACAGCTTAAATACATTGAGCCGCTGGCCTCGTTGACTAATTTCTGCATTTTTATTTCAGGTCCAACAATAGGCTCTCCTGAAAAATTGTAAAGCTTGAAGGATACGTGGTAAAATAGTTTTAACGAGATCTCGACACGTTTGACCGCAATCTGAAAGAGGAGATCTCAGATAAACTTAAAGTTATTTCGGGCACAATAGGCGCTACTACATGAAAATAAATAGCAAAACACCAGAAATTCTGTCGCTAGCTGTGGGAAGTTGCAAGCGGGAAAATAGGTTCTTTTACAGGTTTCAGTTAGATATTAGTTGTTTTTTTTTTGTTCTTTTTTTTCTTATTATTATTATTTTTAGTTAAGTTTATTATCACAGAGTAGTGTGCCTCCTGAAAAAATTCTCCCCAGTTATTAGTAGTTTTGTCAATACTAACTGGATTCAACCTTCTGCTGAATCATAAGTAGCAGACAGAGCTGCGTGCGCACATGTTCTATACATCAATGTCTCGTCAAGTCGTGGTTATCGCCAGAGACAATACTAATTGTGGTAGTTTTTTTGAGAATGAACGTCAAGAGTAACCTGTTAAATTGATTTCTGTTTGGTAAGTCATGTTCAGAAAGTTTTCAAACGCACTTAAAATTGCACAAAATATACCTTCGGATTTGACCGTAAAGTTTTCACTCTTAAACGTAAGCAAGGGAAAGTTATGCTTTTCCTGCAGGATATATGATATACTTAACGGGAAAATAACAATTTTTTTTTTTTTTTAAGGCTGACCTTTGTTCGAGGACGTGCGAGTTCGTGAGAACTGTGTTGATTGTTCAGGTAGAATTTGTGATTGGTTTCAACTTCAGTTATGGGATTTATTATATAATGACGAAAATGGTCCTAATCTTTCATATACCGGAATCCGTAGTCCGGCTTAAGAGCCACGGAGTAAGGTTAAATGATGATATTTATAGATATTTTAGAGTATCATTGTCTATTACATCTGAGACCTAAAAGTGATAAATTCCATTTTATCAGTGGCACGAATAACTATGAAAATTGAAATGAAAATATTTTCCTTCTGATACAGAACTTCAACACAATGGAAAGGAGAGACACAACTGTCTATTTAAGTTATGATGACCCTAAGATCCTTGATGAAATTGCCCTAAAGGAATTTTTTATTCTTAAACGTTAGCGGGGGTAACCGAGGTTTTTTGGAACGGAAAGCACTCTTCCATGGAAATGAAAGGCATGATTCTTATTTTGACAGCAAAAAATTTTTAGGGCTGGTCTTTGTTATCCACATAACATAGCTCGCTATGGCAGAATTAGATGGAAAAGAAGCTCAAGGATTACGATTACAGCTCAACACACGTTCACATCTGTATCCCAATCGCTTGCATTAGTATCGTATCAGAGATACCTCGGTTCAAGTCACACTTCAGTATCCACCATGTATTAACATGGCATCCGTTATTAAATGGTGACATTTTAGCTACCTAATTTTCGGAGCCATGGAACAAAATAAAAATATGATTTTTCCTGTTGTTTAAAATGTCTATCTTCATAGTAGTTGCAAAGTTTATCATTGCTCCCCAAGTGCAAGGTTGTGGGAACTGTGTATGTTGAAGAGTAAGAATTTGAGAAAGGTTACAAATGCATTCAATATTAAAGGGAAAATGTCACCTAATCCTCAGAGCTATGAAGCAAAATAAAATTATGGTTTTCCCTGTTGGTTAGAATGTTGAGGTTAGTAATTTCATAGTACACCATTGACCCCCAGGGAAAAAAAAAAAAAGATTTCCCCTAATCAGAAGCATAAAAAGAAATGAAATAGCGAAAAAAACCGGTTACACTAAGGAATTCTTTCTGATAAATTTATTTCAATAAACAGGAGCAATGAAACTGTGTTATCCACTGATATTTGACACTTCAAAAGTGCTTGATAGCACCGTTATCGTCTTCATTCCGTTCCTTGATCAGGCACTCCTGAATGCAGACCACACGTACAAACTATTCTAAATATTTCAGTCCATGAAGAATATCAGAATTCGTTCTGTGAGGTCCATTACGAATGTTTATTACAACTTTTCATTGTCACAATCACTTCATTTGCTCTCATTTTAATTGAAGTCGTCATCGTTCTCGGTATTATGGTATTGATCTCTTATAGTATCGTGCATACTACAGATAGTTCTGGTATGATGTTTGAGGAACAGTAAATCGTTAATAATATACTGTGTTCTCTCGTCTTATCTGCATTCAGAAGAGCTCGATGAGAACGGAAGTGGAATAATAATAATTACATACTTTAACTTTAGATATATAGCACGCGCATTAAGGCCACAAAAATAATATTCAATGGCTCCTCCCAAGTTATGCAACATGAAGTTCAAGTTATTTTACTGGTAAAACTATTTTTAACCTAGTTTCGGGATGTTTCTAACTCAATAGCATATTTTTGTTAAAGAGCTCAAGAGCTCGAAAGGAAATTGCTCAAATAGTTTTGGTACATTTTTCACGCGTTTGGCCAGGATATAAACGATTTTTTTTAATATTTCTATTTTTGTGTACAATACTGCGGAACACCATGATCAGTCAGCTGATACGTTGACCATCGTTTCATGTCAGCATTGGACTTAAGTTAAAAAATTAAAAAAATTAAAAAATTAAAAAATTAAAAAAATTAAAAAATTAAAAAAAAAAAGAAATTATTGCTTTGACCATTGAAAGTTTAAAGCAGATCACTTTTTGTCTTTTTTAAACAAAGGAAGAGAGAAACAGCCCTAAATCTCTTATTTTACTGTCCCTGCAACCAAAAATATATTCAGTCTCCCCTAAAAACTCATAAACTTTAAGATAGAAAGATAAATTGCTACTTCCAGTTTTTTAGCAACAAACTGAATACGGGATATCCTTTTAGACGCACGAAAGCTATTTTTTTGGTACAGTGAACGCCAGTTAAGACTGGTGAAATATTTACTGTCGTTCATCTTAAATCATGAATTTAATGAAATTATAGAATGACAGAAATATTGTCGTTGGATCTGGAAAGTTGAAAGCTCGTACAGCTTGAAAAAAAGTTATTCTACATGTTTGTGATGTGATTTTCTTGTTTTTAATTTTGTTGCTGTTTTAAATATGTGTAAATATAAATCTATATTGTTTAGTTAGATTGAGAGAAATATTTTGAAGAGAAATGTCTTCAACGATAAAGGGGGTAATTTCTGAAGAAAATGGGAGAGTATAGAAGGGTAATTCAGCATTATCAGCTGAGTTGATAACGTAAATTATCTAATTCATTCGCTGATACAGACGGGACACAATTGAGGCAAGCTGATCGACTGAAGTTTCGATCGTTACTCTCTACGCCATCTCTCTAGGTGAAAACGACAGGAATGTTATCTTCATCGTGGTGAATTGGCCGGTCTAAGTCGACTTTTCATGCTTAGTAACTATTAATTTACCAAGCTAAGAAAATATGAAGTCCTTCTAATTGAGATGTTAATCGAAATAAGTCACTAGTGAGCTCAATAAGGTGAAAACGTTTAAATTATAAGGTGACCACGGACTGCATTCCCAATCTTGTTATCTTTCGGAAACCACAATTTTGCACATTCTAATTTTATTGCATGGGCTTCCAATGATAAAAGATGACACCCTCGCTCTTATCATCTCGCAGAAAATTGATTATTGCAGGATAAAATACAATCTTCGATCACCAGAATTTCTCGTATGTTATTATTTTATTAAGTCCATTATAAGTCTATCATGAACGATGATTGGCGCTTATTGTACCCGAAAGCTTATCGTACGTCAAAAAGATATCCATATTCAAATTTTTAGACATGTTGAAAACTACCCTTAAGCAATTTTATAACTATATTTTAAGCTTTACGATTATTTTGGGGAGTTTGACTATCTTTGGTGTTTATGGCAGGTAGTATAGAATAAGGGAAGAGAGGGCTGTTCTCTCTCTTAGCGAAAACTTCAAAGGCCACTCAATTTTTTGGAATGAATAATTGAATAAAGATTGAGGATGAATGAGGAGCATGATGAAACAAGGAAAGAGAGTGCTAATCCGTTAAACTGATAAATTTGAAAAAGTCATTGCGTATCGCATTTGTGGCGTCGGAGAACGTGCCGGAATGCTGTTTGTTTCATATGGAACGTAATGATCATTGATTGATGTGTGCCTCAACATACGATACTGCTACAGCCCTCTGAGTTGTACCTGTCTTCTACACTATTGCTGATCCGAGATTTATAAGGTAAGTTATCAAAACTGAATTTTGATCACACTTGTGGTTTAAGTAAATGTGCCAGATTCTTACGGCTATCGAGCTATCGAGTGCCTGTGGATGTATCAAAGGCATTTTTTGAGCGATTGGAATATAAATCCAAAATATGTGTCATCCAGACCTCAATGAATGTCGATCCATGTGGTTGTCGTATGAAATCGGACTCCATTGTCACCATGATGCCATTTTAATTTGATGATGCTTTACGTTTTCTCTTCACCTTAATTGCTTATCGATATGCTGTTCTCCTTTTTAGAGATCATAAGACAAATTCATTATAATTTACTTCTTCGAAAGAAGTTGTCAAGAGGGATTGTCAAGGTCGCGCACGTAGGCGGCACTACACCAGCATTAATCACGCAGAGTAGAACTTATAGTGCAGAGATTGAAATGCGCTCTTCGTTGTTTGATTGCAGGAAAAAAAACAAAAACAAAAGCAAGTTCTATTTTTGCACACCCTCATAATGGAGGTTTGCATCTTATATGGCGAATAAAGATTTTGCCAGTGAAATGAATGGTACGTTTGAGCTACAACTAATCATTAAAATGAAGTTAGGTTTCTGCTCGTCAATAATTATGTTGATAGAGCTTCAAAAGTTTAGTTTCAGCTCATCAATAATTATGTTGATAGGGCTTCAAAAGTTTAGTTTGGAATGCATAACGTTTCTTTAATTTTACTATGATAATTGGTTTTTCCCGAAGCCAAAATGTCGATGTCAACTTTTTTCGGTGGTTTTGACATGTTCGTTTGGATTTGGTCAAATGCAGTCTTCAGACTCTTGCGAGCGGAGTGGAAAGGTCCGCTGGAACGGCTCTCAAACGTGTAAAGTCTTGTACAATGCGGCAACCTGAGGCTGATTTTATCTTCCAAACAAAAGACGAGAAAAAGTAGACAAAAATTCTTCTATTTCATCCATTTCGTGCATGACCCAAATTAGCTTTCTGCCGTTTAAGATGTATTTTGGATTGTGGCCAAGCACTTGAAAAAATGCACGAAACTAATTGAACATTTTCGTCTTGATCCAAAATTGTGTCCAGTGGTATCAGTCCATTTTTTGAACCGGAAAAAACTGTTTTGTGGCAAACACCGGGTAGTTAAACAAAAGAAAGAGAAGATTCTGTTTTCTCTCCACGCCTGAAGGTGATAAGCCACTTGAGTTCTTTCGCAAAGGTAATTATTATATGACGAAAATAGATTCAACAAGAAAATATAGTTCTACCTATTTAATACTCTACTATTTAATAACTTCACCTTCTCATAAATAACCTGTGCAGACCACTCAATATTGCGTGTTAATGCACGTGATATTTTCCTATCTTTTCTAACTTCTATACACGAACGTATTTGAACGAGGTTGTAAAGCCCCTAGACATTACTTGTTTAAATAAATTAACGATTGCTTGAATGATTGATACTGCAGTGTGATTTTCAGCGAGGTGTTCTTTCAAATACAATATTGCTGCAAACTACTGATGCGTGTCTGTCTCGTACTTTGATCGTGATTGAAACAAGATTAGGCATATTATTCTTCCGTGTTGTGAGTAGTTGTTGTTGTAAATATAAGCTTCCAGAATCTCCAGACTGCTTAGTCATCCTCTCATGCGTACCATAGAACGTTCTGGAAAATTTCATCAAGTTACGCAGTAATTACGTGATACTTCGAAAATAGGTCTTTTGCAAGATTCTGGAAGGTTTCAGAACAATTTGTGAATATATATTAAGACTCAGTTTTGCGGTAGTGACCAAATGTTTAGGAGGTAATGAGAGCATGAGAGAGAGCTACAGTGGAGCTACAGTGGAAGATTGCTGATATCAAGAAACTTTAGAGGAAACTGTGAGTTCAGCTCAGTGGTAAGCTAAGATATAGAGTGCGGTGGGCTTCGGTAAGTGTATCAAGGATAAATACTGTACTGCCTTTAGGAGTCGCTCCTTGTCTAGAATATCACTGGTTGTTCAGTAAAAGTAGTTGAGCTAATAGGATTTTAGTGTTTTTCTGTCGGTTAGATTATACCGAAACAACTGTTACTATGATTCTGTTGTTATCAAGTTTTCAGTCACAGCACATAGGACCAGATAAAGCTACCTTTAGCTAAAGATCGAAATATCTGTTTTATACAAGAATATTTGAAGGATAAGTGATAAAATACAAAGAATTATGAAGGCTTCAATCAAATATAAGAATAAACAACAATTATCGTGATGCCAAGAATTTTTCATAAAGCTAGAACACAAGACGAATTTTGACATACCGACAGACTAAATTGTTTGGTAATATTGATTTATGCAGGAATTGGCGATTAAAATAACCAAGCCATATCATAAAAAGGCTAGGTGAAAACAATACCAATACATTATCATCGTTTGTCTCAGATGTAGCCAGTTGCAATATCCTTTCCTTGTGTCAAAAACTTATTGAGACACTCCTTAATTGCAACCCTCGTAAAGTTTTATCGAAACACCTCGCTCCCTTATCGAGGTTGAGTCTTCTTTCCACTGCACTCGTTACCAATATTGAGACCAAGATAATGGAAAATGCTCCAACAGATGGCGAATCTGGGCCATGGATATAATGTATATAGATGAATAAAAACCAACGTTTGCTTCAAGTGCAATGGAGATATGTCAGACTCACGTATAACGTGGTAATGAAAATGGATTATTCTTTTTCCCTTTTTTCATTTGCTTCATACATGGACTTCTGGCAGAGATATAAAGGATAAAGTCGCCACACGCTGTGGAAAAAAAATTGATTGATTGATCTATCAATAGACTGACTGCCTGACGGACTGAATAAGTGATTGGTTGAAGCATGTGAGTGCTCAGCCTCTGACTCTAGCAGTCTAGTGCATTTACCATGAATATACTACAAAACAGCTGCAAGGTAATTATTTCCTCCCTGCCAAAGGAAACAATGAAACGAAGTTGTCTTCCGAAACAACCCAACGTTGACGTGTGTAAAACACGAGATCGACAAAGATCTAATAGCATCTGCATAACGGAGCAGAAATATCCTTTTTGGGAATAAATTGCCAAAAACTAATTTTCTTATCTTTTTCTCAAGTTACATTAAAGGCACAAAGTGTTGCAATTCCTTGCTTTGATTTCTTTTATATTTAACGCACAAAATCGCCTATAGACTGTCTCCATTTCACTTCTTTTGTTATAATTAACGGCGAGAAATGGATGCTTAACCCTTTGCTCAAGAGGCAGTGGAAATACATGCGTACTGAGGCACGAATTCCGAGATTTTGAGCATGCAAATGGGATTCCTGGAGCGAAAGTTAGTAACTGACAAAGAGCCAACATTTTGGTTGAAAGAATCTTTTTGCGTCGTCTGCATTCGGAAGTGCCTGTTATAACATAGCGCGCGTGCTTGCCCTCTATAAGTCCTTTAGAGCCAACAAGCAACAAAAATAAAGCCGAAAAAAAACTCAAATTTTGGCCGAAAGACATTCACTGGGAAAAAAAAAAACAGTCAGGTAAACTTTCTGCTTTTATTGTTGTTTTTATATTTTTTCAATCTTGGGAACAAAGTAAACAGTTGTTAATTGGGAATTTATAAAAACCAAACACGACTGCACTCTACCACAATAAAAGGCTTCTTCGCGCAGATCCTTGTTGTCGTTCTGTTATAAAAGAATTTGCTCATGCTTTTAGCTATGCGTATATCGAGTTGTGGATGCACTTGGGAAGTTCGGAGAGTACTCAAAAAGCAAGAGTTGCTCTCGGCTGCGCCTCGAGCTATTCTTACTCACTTTTCGTGCTCTCCAAACTTCCCGCGTGCATCTATAACTCGATATACGCACGCTAAGCATGAACAAATTCTTAAATACAGGAACGGAAATGGAATGTTAACTATGCCATCAAGCCAGTCTTATAAAGTGTCAAATATTTGTGGATGATACAGCTATAATACTACTGTTTATCATAAATGATTGTAGTAAATGTATCAGAGTGAATTATCAGTGCCACTTGATTTGCTCTGACAGATTGGTAGCTTTCCCTGCTTAAGTTTTAGGATGGAAAGGTCAACTCTGACCGCGACTGACCAACGACTGGCTAAGACATTGAGCATCTAAGTTATCCTGACTTTCGATACAATCAAAGCGTTAAGTTCTGTCTCTGGCGTTTAGAATTTAATCTGTCCCACCATTTGACAGAAAAAGAGGTTTGTTTGTTGTTATTTTTTCTTATCCTTCTAATTCTGATATTAGCGAGCCATCTGAAACGCTGATAAAATCCGCTAGAAAGGGTCAGTCCTGTTCCTTAACAGTCAAGTTAAAGATAACTCCGGATGTGAGTTCATCAAATACTCTGACGTCAATAATCGATCAACATATGGATTGATTGGTTGATTGATTGATTTGTTAATAATGTGACGGTATTTTAATATGTGCCATGACATAATGACAAATTCTATGCTCTCACGTTATCAAAGCTAACAATCGAATGGCGAGACAACTCTCTGGAATAGAACACAAGATCCTCAAAGAGCTAATGGTGTCTGTCTAATGGCGGATAGGTGAAGACAAGCTGTTTAAAAATTTTCGTTGTAACCTATTTGTCGTTTTAATTGTGCGAGCTAATTGAATCGGTTTAACTGACAGTGGTCTTTCCAACGTCACCAGATAACATCATATTAACCTTTTCGTCAGAGTAATTTGAGAGGAGCAAATTCAATCTGTAATTGAGGCGGGAGAAGTATAAGGTATCTGAATATAGCATAATATTTTGCATTTTCAAGTTTTGAAGAAAGTAAATTTTCCTTGAATGGCATGCTTAGTCTTGGATGATACCAAAAAACTTTTAAGATTGCAAAATGCATAATATTTATTCTGGCTGTAAACGGATCAGAATAAAAAATTCGGTTTGGTTTTTTCCTCCGCAGGAAAATGCACAATAGGCGCTACGTGGTAGTTTTTAATTGGCGTAAAGCAATGTGGCAGACATAGCCTGGAAACGAGGTTGA